TTAGAGAACTATTTCATGCCATATTGTGAACCCCCGCTGGCAAATATTTACGAAATGTTTGCTTTTACCCCCGGAACGGCAGTCAGAGCAACCAGAAGAAAAAACATACAATAAAAGGCAAATATTTATGAAATGAAAATCCTCGACCCTACTAGAAGGGTCAACAGGGTGAAATTGGAAAAAGTTGACTACCGCACACAAAATGGCGCAGGAGCAGGATCGGGGCAGAAATATTGACAGGCCAAATGAATTGGCCACATGGTGAGCCACGTTCCAAATAGAAGGCACTGTGTGTGTGTGTCTGTGGCAATATAAAGCACAACACGTTTGACAATTATACATTGGTTACATTTCGTGGCATATTTGTGCAGTTTGCGCAAACAACAAAAGCGCAAAAAAAAATAGAGGCAAAAAACAAACAGGAAATGCCGCAAAAAGTCAGTCAGGGCTGGGGGCAGGCAATGCAATATGCGGTTATTACATCGTGCTTGGGGGCGTGGCAAAGGGGTTTGGCCAAAGGATTCTCAGCCAGACAGAGCAATAAAAATAAACTAAGAGTAGAAAGCCGCATGGCCAAAGCATTTTAGCGTGACAATCAATTGATTTCCCAGGCGGTTGACGAGAAATGATATATTTTTCTATATTTGACGTGGAAAATTCTCCCTCATTTTTTTCACGGTCCTCAGCTGCTGTCTCCTTGTAGCATTTCTTGTTTTGTATGTATTTATTCGTTGTTAAAGGATTTAATGGCACGAAATGAGGCTTTATATTATGGAGAAAGTCCTTTGTTTGGATAACTATTTTGTGTAAATGCTGAGAGCACATATTTAAATGGATTTAATCTCATTTTGAATCACACTTAAAACGGATTTCAGGAAGCCATTAAACAATTGTAATGATTGATAGAAGGATTTTTTATGTTTAATTACTATTTTTTTTGTGAAAAATCAATTATATATTCCCACTTTCGAATTGCCATTTATTTTTCTACCATGTTGAATTTTATATTGCATACTTCTAGGCCAGTGACTTAAATTAAGTTTTAACTTCAAAGGGTTCAGGTCTTGGCTAAGCACAAGGTTGCATGAGCACAATATTTACGAAATTCACAAAATTGTTTTATTAGCTTTTGTTAGTTACTTGTCCGGTAATCTCTGTTGGTAAATCAAAATTTCCATAGATAATATTTCTCCTGGTGTCAACCGAGGCTACTAGTTCGTAAAGTGTGCACATAAATCACTGGCCATGCAGACACAACAAGAACAACATACAAACACACATGCACATGCATCACACACACTGCGTATGAGTGATTTATTAAACTATTTTGTGCCAAACTGAAAGGAGATGAGGAGTGTGAGCTAACTAAATTGATTTCATTGTATGTCCTGGCCTGCATAATAAACCAAACCCAAACACAAGCACAAACTGCAACGAAAACTTTTAGCTACAGCAAGGACATTTTTCAGCAGCTTTTACTTGAAGTGGTTAAGCAGCCAGAGAGGAACTGAGAGGAAGCTGAGGACAACGACCAAGGAGGAGTACCAGCTGGGTCCGAGTGGTCATAAGGGGTTAAATGAGTTGCCTCCATGTGTGTGTCCTTTGCTTCAATATCGACCACATGTGGTTAAATTATGGCCATAGCTGACTGCCCTTTCAACATTTTGTGCTATTTTTTCCAACAGTTTTCCGGGGAATCAATGAAACATATTTCAAAGCGTTAAGCAATTGCTTTTTAGCGTCCATTCAGCATGCCACTACGGACTGCCAATTCCACAATTTTACCCATTTTAAGTGGACGGTTCTCCGATTCGATTCGTTTCGATTGGATTCTCTGGAGCGTGTTCCGCATGGGGATTCACATTCACGCATTTAGCTGGAGACCCATTCTCCTGCTCTTGTCGAGCTAACTCCATAAAATTCAGAGTCTCGCATTATTTGCCAAATGAGCCAGAAGTAGTTCTGTGGCTTTGTCTCCTCTGACCAACCCTTTTCATTAGCATGGCAGGAGGGCGGACATTCCACATCTGATTGAGTTTGTGGGTGATTGCCAAGGAATTTCGCCGTGACATTGATGTTGATGGGCGCCATGCATCATTCGGGTGGCCAACGAAATGGGGCGGTGAAAGAGATGCCTCCCAGTTTGATTGAAGACCCTTGCCGGGCATTGCATTGAGGTTTACCAAAGCCAGCGCCAATCAAACTTCATTAAGGTTGAATGCCTGATTGCAAATCCTTGCTGAAGGATTACGTCGAACTTTGGGTTTCCATAATCCTATGCTGCTGCCACCATTTACCGTCTCATTTGCAGTTTTGCACTTTAATTTCTTTAACAGAGTTTGTGAACTAAACTGTCATAGCCGTCAAGTAACTAAGATCTTTTTTAGTTGGAAAAAACAAAAAGAAGTACGTAATTACTAAATTGTACTTCTGAAAAAGAATTCCGTATTTCTCAAATTAGAATATTAGAACCTATAACCAAAATAGTTATGATACTTTTCCGAATAAAAGAGTATTCCATGCAAGCTTCTTCTTCTTTTGATAACCACGTACATTGCGGCGTATACGTAATTTGCAGAAAAATGCAATGTCGGGCAAAAAAATACGTTCCTTCTCCTTCCTGCTATGCAAATGAAATTTCCACAGAGAAACTTTTTATTCAATTAATAGAAAATTTCCTCCTGTGGTCAATTAACCACGTTGGCCACTATGCTGTGGCTTAGAAGGGGGTGGGGATTCAGTTACTAGTCTGGCTAAACTTTGCCTCAGCTATTTGGCGACTTCATTTAACGTGGCCCAGCCAGGCTTTCATAAAACGCTTGCAAAGTTTGTAGATCCCATCCCCGCACCTTTATTCTGTCCCGTTTCAGCATCCTTGTAATTGTTTTAAGTTGCATTTATTTAAACTTTTTTTATATATATTCCCAGCGTACCAACTTTCCGACTTTTTCTTGCTGGCAAAACTTTCTTCTTTCATTTCTATTTTAATTTTTCCGTTTTTTTTTTGCTTTTGCCTTTTTAATGCCTTACACCCCCTTTTAGTTTTTCACATTTTTAATTTTGTTCAAGTTTTTCCTATCAGTATTTTCCGTTTGGCCATGGAGCATAAAAAATTAAAAATACATTTTCGTGTAAGTGGGGGAAAAGGTAACGCCTAAAATAGTTTACCAACTTTTACAGGTAGGTAGTCCGAGTTTTTTTCAGCTGATTTTCAGGTAAATTTTATGTCAGCCGAAAAAAAAATATTAAATGTTGAGCACTTTCGAGGAGTCTGCATTTTTCGGGGTGTCGAGTGCCATTGAGAGATTATTTTCACAGCGATTTCCGTTTGCTGATTCGATTGGTTGAATGGGAGTTGACTGGTCCGAAAACCAGTTAACCAAAACGAATTTATCAAGGATCATTTGAAAAAGAGATATAGCGGCGGCAATGGTAAACTCGTTATTAAAATCCGTTTAAACTATTTTCGTTAAAGTGGAAAACTAACGCGGCTAGGCAAACATTTGCAAAATTTGTTTTATTTAACTGGTTTTCATAACGTGGCCGCAGACACCATAAAATTTCTATATAAATATTGGCAGCTTTGGCATATTGAACCATAAATTGGGTCAACATTTTGTTTTGATTAGATCTGTCTACAAAAAGGGCAAACATAAAATTGTTCACCATAAAGTTTGACCCAATAAAATATGAAACTGCTCCCAAATGTAAAATTTGTCTATGGAAAAACAAGTAAACAAAATTTGAAATTTCTAAGCCGGATTTAGAATAGAAAGTTGGATAAACTAAGAAAGTTTTAGGCTTTGTTTACTGATTTGATTCAACTAATGATATATTTTTGATTAGGGATCGCTGAGGGAATGCATTTGGTAAATGCTTTTTAAGCTGTATTATATTATTTTATGTTTAAAAGTTAAACAGGGTAAACTATTAATTGAAAACCTCACATGGAATTGCTCAATTCTTAGTTGAAGTCACCAAACTTTAGTACTGACTATCAAAGGTATACCACCAAGTGTTTCTTTCCTTATTGATGCCCTTTTCCTGCTTTTTCTCCTGCTGTTTCGAGCCCAGGATTCCTTGATTTTTATGACTATTGCCATTTGGTTGCGCTTTGTTTTGCCCGATATTGTTTTCTCAATGCTCGTTCACTCGGTCGCATTGATTTTCGCTTGGCTGGCCGTTGAGAGAGTATGCCACCTACAAAAACATAGTCACAAAAACAAAAAACAAAACAAAAAACAGACGAGTATCGCATACAATATGTGCACTTTATGCGCTTTGATATTTTATACATTTTGTGCCTCCCCCCCTCAACGAGTTGTTTTTGCTCCGAAATGGGGATTGGTGTGCCCCATGTTGTAGCCATTGTTTGCACAGTCTGTGTGACATTTTTATGCGATCAAACATTGTTGCATCAAATTTACGGTGCGTATGAGTAACGACGCCAGCAGCGGCAGACATCAGAAATTGCCTCCTTCTCCCCCCTCCCATTCTAACCCCCTTTCAACACATTCATGCCCTTGCGGTGGAATATATTATGTTGTTGTTGTTATCGTTGTTGTCCTCTGACAGACTAAAACCCCAAACGACAGGCGTCATAAAAAACACACTTGCATTTATTAGCCCAAAAAAATGTATATATATACTCGTAGTATGTAACAAAAAACAAAGTATGCTGGACTGTGAAGTAAACTTTTTTTTGTAGACCATACGAAATGTAATTGAATAAAGTATTTTCACAGCGGAAAATTCGAGATAAATTCAGAGTTCAAACCAGTAGTTAGGCTTTATTTTTTATCTCGAAAAACAAACTAAATTCGATTTTTCCCTTAAATTTCCAATTTACAATAAAAGAACACCTAACGAGCAGTTGTAGAAAAAAGAAAGCAAAATTACGCTCAAGTTCGAGTTTGAGGAAAATTTCCATAAGACGCACTCAAATTATGAAAATGTCACAGAGAAAATGAGAGGCAAAAGTTGCGAAAGTCTCGACTTACCGTCATGTACTCATCCAGGCGATGCTTCCAATTGTCAGATCTATCGATTAGATTGTTCCACTGCTCGGAAAGTTTTCCCACCTCCCGTCGGATGCTGCGTGTTAGCTCACGGCTCTGCTCCTCGGCGGACATGTAACGCGAGTCGGAATCATGGTTGGCTATAAAGAACAAGGGTAAGAAGATTATGATAAGGAAACGTTCGTTGGTAAATTTATGAAAATCAAGTCAATGGCAAAGACAAAGTTCTGCCCGGGGAGAAAAAAAACTGAAAAGACAATTGCGCTGCCATTAAATTGAGAAGTATTCCCCTGTTTTCCATCCCAAAGATCCTGCTGGCACGTACGGGAGTTTATGAATTAGAGATGATATTATGGCTCTTAATGTCGATGATTGTGTTCGAGCCAAGTTCCATGGCATCTTTGATTATGCTGATTGCAGCCGTGGACTGTGGGTGATTAAATTTGCAATAAAATAATCTCTCGGACAGGTAAGCTCTTGGGTAAAGCTCTTTGCCAAGTGAAGACCAAAGGGAAACTCAAATTTGATTCGGCAGGGGAATCAATTAGCCAGTATGACAGCAAAAGTTAAAGCCAAAGTTTCCGAGATAAATTCAATACCGAATATCAATGGTGTTTAAGCCATCGATTAGCTATTGAGGAGACCGCAAAAACCAGTAGAGCAGCTCTCAACTTTAGCCATTTCCTTCCACAACAATGAAAGATGAAAGCCAAAGCCCAGTCAGTCAGAGGCAGAGGGAAAATCGAAAAGGAAAAGTGTCAGGAAATTTGAAAGACAAACTGACGCGCTCTTGTGGCGAAGGGAAATGCAATAGGAGACCCACGGACGGACGGACGGACGAAGACCAACTGGCTGACTGACAGTCGAGTGGCAGCTGCTGCTCCAGCTCCTGCTGCTCCAGCTGCTTTATAGCTAGGCCAACACAGTCACACACAAAAAAGTAAGGCAACAAGGCGAACTCAAAGTTGGCTAAATCCGAATTTAATTTAATGCACGGACGGAGACAGCGAGTAACTTTTATGGCCAAAGGAGAGGTTGGTTGGACAGCTGGTAATGTGATGCTAAGCAAATATCGAGAGTTGAATACTCGTACATTTTCCCCATCGCCCTTCCATCCCATCCCCATCGAAGTTTCGTTGTAATATTCAAATTCAATTTAAAGATTGAGTTTATCGCTTTGGATGTTTTCTGCTTTTTGCTCGCTTCACTGCCTCTTCACAGCGAAACTTTTCGTTTTCAATTTTGCCTAATAGAAGGAACTTTCTATTGATATTTAAAAAAAACAGTTGAGTTTTGGTGAAATATTAAAATAAGATTTTATAGTGAACTAAAATAACAATTGTGAAATTGATGTATTTAATCTAGAATTAGCTGAAATTGAAATCATATAATAATTAAACTAATTAAATATTTTTAATCCAAAATAATTCCAGAAACAAACAACAAACAAATATCAGCTGGATTTTAGTTTTATACTTTCAAGTTTAGCTGTTTAGTTTTCAATTGCAATAAGCATTAAAATTCATTTGCCACGTTTATTTTGGAGCACTCACAAAATTCGACTGGTTGGCCACACAAAATAAACATCAGAATGGCTAAAATCAAAGGCCAAAAAAGATGGGGACACGGCCAAATCTCTCCCACAGCTGATGGCTGGCACTAATAGCGTACTAATCGCTCTAATTGCTCTGGTCGCAATTATCGTTGACGCCTTCCCAATGTGCCATCACCCTCCTCCGCCCTCTGATGCCACAAAAAAATCGAAAAACAAATCCCCAGCCGGGCTCTAACCTCTGCCACCACCGAGCTAAACCCACACAGTCATTTGCTAAATTGTTAACTACAGTCTAAAAAAAAAAAAAACAGAAACTACTACGAACTAAAGCCTGATCACGGGGTTTCAGTGGGGTGAGAGAGGAAGGGGCACGTGCGGTGGTGCAAAATCAATTGGCAATTCTCCGGTTGCCCAACAACAGTTGTCTACTTTTAGGCGCTCACGTCCCAAAGTACTATCCTTCGTTTTGTATGCGTGTGAGTGTGGTTTTTGAGCTCCCTAAGCTTTTGTAAAATAGTTAAAGCAAATTCTTACATGTTAGTTTTTCGTTGATTCGTGAGAGATATTCGACAGAAAGTTCAATCAATTGTGTAGGGCTCTGGGGAATGTGGCCAGGATTGGGGAGTGGCATTAAAGAAGGATAAAGGATTTTGCTTCATTTACTTTATATGAAAAACGATTGCTGGAATATTCATTTTATGGTAGATTTTTGGGAAATTGTTTAATATATCGACAAGCTTTTTAGGATGTTCAAGTTCTTTATAAAACAGCAGCACTACTAATTCATGAATTATAAACAATGATTTGATATGTGAAAACATTAAAGTGCAATATGTGTGTGGAATGTTTTAAAGACCACTTAAACTAAACCAACTATTTATGGCAGTTTTTGAGTTCATCATATCATATCTTGATCTTCACAATCCAATAAACAAACCCCTTTTGAAGAACGTGTCAACGAACCCCATAACTATCCCATTACTGTGAGATTGTCTATTATTCCTGGTGCAGTTTTATAGATCATCATTCTCCTTGACCGACCCTAACAAATCCAATTTCAGTTTTGTGCCACCAGAGCACTTGACGAGATTCATGGAAAACCTTTTTGTGGTCCCCTTAATGGGCAGTTTAGTGGGTGACTTTTTAGTATGTCGATGGTGGTCGGTAGGGGTCATAAAACTTACCCTCTGTATCGCTGGTATCCGAGACGGCTGCTTCGTTGGCGATGTACTGACGACCGCTCGTTAAATTGCTCTCGACAATTGGCCGCTTATCCTCCAATTGGCGTCGAAAGGCTTTATGATCGTCCTGCAATGAATGCAATACACGAATGAATGAAACTCCGCCAAACCAAACCTACATATATATATATATCAAAGTTTATTTAGGTTTTTCGGGAATATTTGCAGGCCCTATGGAAAAAGAAAAATATATAGCTGAAGTGGTCAAGGCCCATAAACTATCAAGGGAACGGCATTCTCTGCAGCTCGGGGCAATAAATTCTCGTGTTTAATGCATTTAGTTGGGGAATAACAAAATGCAACAATATAAAACTACGGACGGAAAGATGGCCGGGTCCGGAGTTTTGTGGCCTTTGGCTGAAAATCCTTCCGTCCGCTGGCAAATAAAATCTTCAAGCCGAAATGTAAATGTTCGGCAGACCGTAACTTAGTGGCAGGCAATAGATTTATGCACTGCCCCCCCTGCTGTTGGCCCCTTCTACTTCTTCTTCAGAAGTATTCCTTTCCTTTCTCTCTCTGCGGGGTGAAAGTTGACTCATTTTTTTCCCAGCTGCTACTCCGATTTCTTATTCCTTGGGAGCTGGGGTTCTAAGTGGGGGCAAGTGAAATTCAAGTGCCTCATGCTGTGTTAGACAGTGATTCCCCATTCGCAGAGAAAGAGTGGCCTTCCACTTTTCTTCCCTTTTCAGGCAGGTTCTTAAGTGATTTTGCCCCCATATGGGGAAGGATGTGTGAGTGTGAGTGTGTGCCTGTATAGAAATGTGCGAGTGTGTCCATGTTTTTGACATAACAAGCATCATTTAACAATTATTTAAGAATTCCAAAGACCAATTGTGGGCGAGGTCGAATACGCAATTCGGTCAAGTTGAATCCACTCGAAAGGAGGTCCTGTGGCTATTTAGCCGAAAATCCCAACTAAAAGCGGGTTACGATTGCAGGCCATTAAATACATTGATATGGGGCTCTAACATAAACTTGCAGAAATTTATGTACTCTTTACCAGGAAAATGGAAAATTTGTTCATCTTTTAGATTAGATACCCAACGCTAAAAGCTGAGAACTGTCTTTTAGTTATTAAAAAAAACCTTTTTCGATTTATAGTTATATAATTTCCAGTCAAATAGTTTAAAATTATAGAAGGACCTCTCTATGATTTATCTATGCAATGCCATTATTATTTGAAAACAAATCAAGAGCAATGGTTGGCTGCAGCTGAATGGATTTAGGCTGTATACAAATGTTCATTGCGCTTCAACAAACTCAAAATATAATTGTGTTTATTGCTAAATTATTGCAATGTTGCAGAGCTAGACTGTTATCCCATTTCAAATTTCCATTCCAGGATCATTTGGCATTTGCTTGTATGCTGAAATAATACATGGTTTAAGTATACTTTAAGTATCTGCCGGTTATTATTTAATTAGTAACCAGAAAATTATGGGACTAAAAATGCAAAGTGGCAGCCAGCCAAGTCACTTTCGGCATCATTAAACCCAGGACCTGAAAACGGGTCAAGAGACCACTACGCAGGCCAAAACTTCCACACAATTAGTTGGCCAAGCGGACAAACAAATTGAGGTGCAGCCCCGGGGGAGTTCCCAGCACAAAATATAAGAGAAAAAGTACTATAAAATTGGGTCGTTGATAAAGGGAAAAAAAGTGGAAAATGAGAAAAAGGTCTTGGGACCCATGGCCAGGTCTTACCAATTGTTTCTGCAGACTAGCGGCATCACCTCGAACGGGACCCAGGCCCAAAGTGCTTAGTTCGGTGTCCTTGCGGATAACCCACTCGGTCAGTTCGCGGAGCGACAGGAGCAGGGCGTTCCAGTGCTCCGAATTGGACTCCAGGCGATTCCTGCGGGGAAATAAGGATAAAAGCTTGTTAGGATGCTTCATAAACTAAGTAGCTAAACTAAGAGTGTACATTGGGAAAATAGATGTATAAGAAAGCTAAGTAACTGCAACTCATGACCCTCTGTATGGTAAACTTAAAATGGTTAAGATAGGCTGTCAAATTTTTAGTTTATTTTAAAAACGGGAAAAAGGTCGTAATAAAGTATTGCCAACTATAAAAACTGCCTTAAAAAGTCATTTCCTCAAAAGAAACATTTACCTTAACCAGCCATAATATATATTTTTACTACTTCATGCAAAAAACTAAAAGAAATAAATCTCATTTTACAAAAAGTTATATTGCCTCGTAAACATTTTAAAATATTCTAATCATAAAACCAAATCTTTTTGAACTATAAAAAGCAACACAAAAATCTAATTTAAATTTAAAATCTGTAAAAGCTATTCCACCAAGAAGATTATTTCTCTCAGTGCCCACGAGAAAGTGCTATAATAATATTAAATTTAATTTGCACTTTAGAGCAGACGAGGAAGCATCTGTGCTGATTGCACCCACAAAATGTCAGCGACAATTTGTCTATTTCCTTGAGTTTCCGCCCGCCTTCCGGCACTTCTCGTCCTGATCCCCATTCCCCCCTTGTCCTTCTGCTCCTTCTGTGCCCACAAATTTCCTCCTTAAGTGAGGTCTATTAAAGTGTCCTGTTTTGGCATTTGGCCGAAAGCCGAGGGCCCAGACCCCCGACCAGACCCACAAACGCACACACAGAAATGAGACGACTGGTCTATGCTAAATTTTTAGCTGTCGCTGTAATTGTGAGATGCCTTGACATTTTATTCACATTTTATTTCGTCCTGGCATATTTTGGACCATTGTGAGCTGCCGAGGGGAGCCAACAAAAAAAAGAGAAAAAATAATAATAACACAGGGAAAAATCTGAAAAATCTCTAGCCCCTCGACCCGGTAATAACAATAGTCAGAGCCCTCATTGTCATCTCATTTCTCCCCTCTTTCTCTAGTTTTCTCGCGATTCTCAGTTTCTCTGCTGTTTGAAATTTTCCGGCCCTGTCCCTTTGTCTGTGTTTATCTTTGGCGAATTCCTTTGGCGTGCTCATTTCATTCTTTTATTATTTTATGTGCTCTGGTTTTTTGCTTATAATTAAGGCTTGGCTCCAGCACCTCTCATCTTCGTCTGGGCGGCGGAACGCCTCTTCCTTTTAGGTTTTCCTTGCTGCTTGCTGCCCACTTTCGCTTTCCTCATGCAAATAATAAAAGGAAATAACTTGAGACGGACAAAACTTGGGGATTTTGCCTCAAATTTCAGCGCCCTTTGTTGTTCTTCTCACTTTGGATTTCATTTCTGACTGGGTTTCAGACAATTATTGACGCGGGACAGACAAATTGCTCGGGAAATTGATATGGGTGAAATTCTATTAGAGTGATGCTAGGAAAATATGAAATGGCACTTAAAAATACAAATAAAAATACCATTTTCAGGGCTTTAAGCCTTTTTCAATTTGAAATTTGATTGATTTCTATGACTATTAAAACAACGATGACCTAAACACTTTTCACCATTATAAAATTCAATAAACAAGGCATCTTGATTTATACTTCGATTTGGGTTCGATTTAAGCGCTTTTCATAACCATATTGATTGATCACAGTCATTCCCAAATATCCATCAATTCTCTATCAATCTGGTCATAAAAAAAAAACATCGATTAAATCATTTTTTAACCCGCTATAACGAGCTTAAAGAGAAAACGAATCTATGGAAAGGTTACGGGCTCATCAATCTTCTTCCCCACAAGCACATCCCAAACGGCAATCAGCGAGAATGTGAAGGGGGGAAACCCAGATCCGGAACACCTGTAGAGATGCCGCACGCAAAAAGTTTGCACAGTTCAAAGAGCCAACGAAACTTTGCACATAAAATGACCCAAAGCCAAAAAGTGCCGCGGCTAATACAAACGAACAGCGAACAATGGCCAAAATCAAATAGAAAGAGGACCAAGAGACGAAGAGGGATTGAGAAATGCCGGCTACGGTGAAACTTTTCAAGTGCTGTCCAAAATATTTCGCAGGAATTTATAAGCCAACAAATCCTTAGCACAAACAACGAGTCCAGACGTTGGGGGCGGAAAACAAGCCGAACAACAAAGGAAGTGGCCTAAGTTTGGCCCACGGAAAAGTGCCAGAACGTCAGAATAATGAGGGCCAACATTTGGGAGGGGGGCGGAGAGGAAAAGTGGCCACTCTTAAGGTGTCATTCGTCATCTTGCCCGTTTCCTTTAATTGAAAAACATTTGAGCGACATGCTAAGCTAAGCTAATCAAGAATATGTTGAAGTTCGAATAGGGGTATACCCTGTAATATATTTTCATTACTTATAAAAACATAACAATAAAATAAATAACTTTAAAAAGCCTTAAAATACGTTTAACATATTCTATTGAGAAAATTATTTAATGGTGGCAATGGTTTTTATTAACAAATCTAACCACAATATATCAAAAAACTTTCCTTCCCTACGGTTACCGATTGAAAATTAACGTTGCCTACTGTTTTGGGCGCAACATCACGTATACGCCATGTTGGCCTGGTCATTGGATAATTGCCATTTATATTCATTATGCGATCTGGCTGTCTCCTCGTTCATCGAATATTTGCGTGTCACCACCATCATCATTATTCATTTTGGTCCAGTTTGGAGGCAACCAAGCCCTGCCCACACTGCTTCCGTAAACATGGAAGACGACGACTTTCATCATCGGCAGCATCAATATCAACAAGCGTCCAATATTTGTATGCTCGAGCCAAGCTTTTATTTATGAAATGGGGAAATTACAAACACAAAAAAAAAAAAGCGAAACAAAAAAAAATGGACAGGAGGACGAAGGATACTGGGCCAGTATGTTTGCACGCGATTTCATCAATGACACAGTGTCCATGGAGCACAACGCTCTTCGTTCGGTCCTTCACTTGCCTTTTCCATCACTTTTCACGCGTTTCGTTTTTAATATTGATTTTTGTTCGGCCCGCGGCTTTGTCAGCCGTAAAGTGTCGCTCCCACAACCCCTCCACTTTTCATATCCACTCTGACTGCTCGCTTTTCCGGCCTTTGTTTTCCCATTTTCATCAGCACAAAGTTGCTTAACCCGGACAGGAGCGTCAGAGGGAATGGCTTGTTTTCAACTTGTTAAACAATGTCGCTGCATTGCTCGTTTTGTGCACAGCTTAACGCGGTTTAATTAACACTTAAAGCAGTTGCAGGATAATTTTGTTATATTCTTTTTGGTCATGGCGAGGCAATTTGACTTAGATTCGGCTTCATTCATCATACGCCCTGCTGGCGGCTTAACAACTCCCTGGGCAATTTACTAGCTCCCTCTCAGCTTCACGCTCATTTAAACACACTGAAGCCGAAAAACTGCATGGAGCTACTCTTTAATTCTATTCAGATGGTTTTCAAGCATCCTTTTGGCCACAAGCAGCACCAGGCTGGGCTGCTCCTGCTCCTGGAACCCACGAACATAAACATGGCAGACCGACAACAAAAACAGCAAAACCCACCAACAGAAATGTGTTCTTTTTTTCACCCGAACCCAACCCGGACAAACAATTCAGCAGAAACAGGAAGAGGGAAGAGGGAGGGAAATAAAAAAAAAAGTAGGAAATCGAGGTTGGCTATAGGAAAACAAGAAGTCAAAAGCACTTACCTGATTGCAATACTTTTCGATTTTAAATTATTCCAACGTTGATTCATTTCATCGAGGCGACGCTGCAGCATAACCGCATCCTCTTGTGAGGTGAGCGAACCCAAAAGTTTGCGGCCTGTTCCATCGAGACGATCGTAAACCACGCGATGGGTTTCAATTTCCGATTGTAGGTCCTAGAAAGAGGAAAATTCAAGGGAAAAATTGGAGCATGAGTAGGGAAATGCTAATAAAAGTGTGTGTTTTTATTCAGAAAATTAATGCCTTTAAAATAAAACAGCAAGTTCTTAAAGGGTATAAGCCTGTAAGTTGAGCGACAAGTATGAAAGCTGCCCACCTGGCCAATTATTAACCGCATCTGTGCCAGTTGTTATTTTTTCCAGACCACTCTCTTTTTTACCTGTCATATATACTGTGTTTTTTCTTTATTTTCACCGTAACCCCTTAGAGCCTGTCGCATGTCAGGTGGAATTTTTGTCCTCTGGACCCAAAAAAAGGGCTTAAAAATGTTAGACGCTTTGGTTTCTCGTTTTTGTTATGGTTGTGGATTTTTGTTGGGCTTCTAAACTATTTTTTGTTGTTTGCGGTTTTGGGAGGATATATGATGATACTCTCTCTTGCCTATCAAAGCTGTATCCTTGATAACTCCCTACAGTTCCTGTCCAACTAAAGCATTTATTTAATTGTATTTCAACTAATTTAATCAATCAATCAATCACTTACGAAATATACCAAATAAACTAATTAAAATTGGACTTAGTCGATGGCACACAGCACATAAAATAATTGAAATGGTATTTCGAGGCTCCACTCTGCTTTCTGCTGCCATACACCACTTTCTCCCCTTTCCCTATTTAAGAGTGTGTGCGAGTGTGGGTGTCTCTGCGTGTGTGTTTGCTAATTAAACCTTCATTAGGACGCTCGTTGCCTTTGTTGCAAGTAAACAAAAACAAGAAAATAGAAGGCAAGAAATCCCAGCCAGTAAAAGGACGTAAAATTCGTCATTTGTTGGAGTCTGTGTGTGTGTGTGGGTATATGTATATATATGTGTGTGTGAGTGTGCGAAATGAAGCTCCAATTAATTTGGCTTATGCATGTCACACACACTGGCACGCATGCACGCACACACAGACATACACACACAAACAGGGAGATTCAATTAATGTGCAAAAATTGTTTATACGTCAATAGAGCGGAAATGGGGCAAACAAAAAAAAAGCGCAAGAGAAAAAAGAAAGGGGCAGCACAACATGAGGCATTTTTAATGAGCAGCAAGTGATGGATGCAAGGGGAAGATGGAGGTGTGGAAAAAATGGAGAAAGAGGGAGGGTTGGGGATCGCGACACATGCGCCAAAGCCGATTAAATCAATTAAAATGAGAAAATGCCAACGGCGATGGGAAAAGCGACAGCAAAGCGGCAGTTTCCAGCACGAGTCAACGCATTCCCTGGTCATTATAGCCATTCCCGATGTCCCATGCCCATCCACAACACCGCGCGCTTTTGGCCATAGCCATCAAATCTACAGACCCCAGAACGTCCCACACCTCAGGCAGACCAAACTAATGCCGCTAATTTGTGCGACGAAAGACCGCAATTTCCTGCATGAGAAGATAGCTCTCTTTTACCGTTCAAATCTCTGGGCTCTACCTCTTTACGTGTATGCGTTTCCATGGTGGCAGTACGTTATTTAGATGTCCTGTACTCTCCAATGGAAATAATGGACTAATTAGGCATTAGCCTAAACGGTAAATAACCCTAACCATCATGGACTTAATTAACAGTAATGACTTTATTTAAACTTTATTTATTAGCTGTTTAAGGTCATTAAATTCTATTTAAATCAATTACTTTTTTATACACGCCATGAGGCATTCTAATTAATCAATTTTTTTCATTAGAAGCCGTCTTTTTTTTGATTTTGCTATTAATTTAATTTCATAAAAGACTTTAAAAAAAAGTTTGATAAAGTGATTTTCCATAAATTTCCAATTTTCAGTATAAAAAGTACTTCTTTTTTCTGACAAAATTTAAAAATATATTCATTAATTATTAACTACCCTCATTTTAAAGGAGTATTTTATACTTTTTTCTTTATCCTTTAATTTTTCCTGACTATTTACAGGGTACCATCACCTTTTTCACTACTTAGCCTGCTTCCCGTTCTTGGGTTTATTAATGGCAAATAAAAACGCGGCCATTTTCGGCCTGCTTATGAGCGTGGAGAATGTTAAAAGAGCGGCTCTTGGACCACAACCATTAGCCACGGCCAAAAGGCTTCGTAGCTGTTGGCCAACACAAATGCAGCTTATGGCTTTTATATGCCAGCAGCTATAAATACACGTATGCGGAGCTTACTGTGTGCACGACCATATATATGAGAGAGTGCCACGCTGCCTTTCCGACGCGCTTTTGTTGGCTCATTTTTCACATTTCCGTTGCTTGTCCTTGCCAAGTCACGACATGACCAGAACTAATACATCTACAAGAGCTTACGTGTATGCCAGCCAAAGTATATGTGCTCGTTCTGACTGCATTTTGCAGTTTAAAGCGCCAATTAAGTAAATGCCATGCTCGGCTTGGCCTGACCAAAAGCTCTCCCCCGAAGACGGGGAACAGGAAAAGGGGGAAGAAGATATGGTTGGTTAAAAATGCACGCCCACTTCCTGCTGCTGAATGGCAGCTCTAACTAAGCTTTCTCCATGGTTTTCCAAACATAATTATGCCTTAGATGGGTTAATTTATGGCTGCAGTCATAAAACTGCGTTGAGAGGGCTTAAAGAACCGGGAAACTGCTGTTTAAAGAAATAACTTATTGCCCCAAAAAAGGTATTCATCTAAATTGAACTTTCCCTCTGCGGAAATACATTCGATTGAGCCACTCCGAGACACTTCCCAAAATAATTTCCTCTATATAAATTCATAAGAAAATTATGCGCACCATTTCCTCACCCATATGCGGACGGAAAAAATGTCTGCATGAATTTGAAATCAAATTTTTTCGAAAGAAACCAAAAATACCTAAGGGTATATTTTGGTGGGTGTGTTTTGATTGTTTGCTGAGCAAAAAAAAAGTGAGGGAAGAGAGACAGGCGATGTAAATAAAATGAAAATGCGTTTATAAGACGCCTCATAAATATATTAGAGGCACATAATAAACACATCACCAAGTGACGAATGCTCATCCTGCCTGAGCCAAGACCCACCCTCATACTCCTGGCTAAAAAAAAAAAAAAAAATAAAACAGCCGCCGGGGGAAAACCTGTCAAGTGGTGCTCACGAGGGGCGTTCAAGCATTACTGACAGCCATAACCGAGGTCCCATTCCCCAACTTCCATCTCCCAACACCATTGAGTGAAAACAAAAATGACAACAAATTTAAACAGGACCCAGCCTCATCCAGCTGCTCCAGCCCCTGCCTGAAACTGCCATTGTAGCCATTTTACATATTTTAGTCAGCCCATGTTAACATCCGTGTAAATCCTTTATGACCAAACTCTGATCCTTCGCCAGAGAACTGGGGGAGTTACTGGATGGAAAAGTTGTTGGGTAACTTGAATTCGATTTGGGTGCTCACCACGTTTGCTTATTTATTCGATTATGTTTATTCCTTGTTATATCATCTTGAGCGATGTGTCAGAGCAAATGTTCTATAAACATTTCTTTTGCCTCCTGCGGGAGAACTCATAAATTCATATAAATAAGAGTATGGTAGGGGCATGTAACTCTGTTTCCAGGTCAACTGGAAAACGGAAAATGGTAAAACGATGGATTTAAGGCCATGTTGATGAGGGATTACTTAAAGCCCTGTTATGTGGAAAGTGGAATTTAAAGTTTGTAAGCTTGTTTGATAAATTGAATAAAGTTATTAAACCATTAAGTATTTGTAACAAAATATTCAGGTTGTGTTGGCCATTTGAAAGGAATTATATTTTTATTTTCTTTTGTTTTGATTGCAATAAATAATTGGAACTTCCGTGGGGAAATATTTTTTAACAAACATTTATTATTTTCAAAAATAAATATGAATTCTTCTTTATAAGTCCTTTGCAGCTTTTTGAAGATTTTCCTAAGATTTTCTTCTCAAAGCTTTCAAGTTTCTTTAAAGTAGTTTCCGACCGCACTGCTTAAATTTGAAAATATTCTTTTTCCCGCTTCCTTTCACTTATCCCCTTGAAAAACTTTGCTTTTGCTTACTTTTGCAAGTTTCGTCCAAATATGACTAAGTTTCTCTGATGCTTAGAAGAGCCAAACACAAACAGGAGATCTAGAAACGACACAGCAATACCCACTATATTTATTTAACATTTATTTTAAACATCTTTTTAAGAAACTAAATAAATATTGATAGAAAAACTGTGCACTATTCAAGCAGCTGTAAATGTATAGATTTGCATATTTGTTAGTTTTCAGCTTACGTTCATAAAAATCATATACCCCTTGAACTTTTACGATTTCCCAAGTATAACAACTAAAACTTCAGCCATCAAATGCAGACTGCAAAATCTGAAATCAGAAATGCATAAAGCCAAAGGCTAGGGACAGGACAGGACAAGGGGATATGCAGCTAGCAGCTGGAATATGAGCTCCAATTTATCCACATGCAATATTAACTTGGCTGCACTTGGCTTTGACTTATCTGCTGAGTTTACGCTGCACTGAGCAAATAGACAGGACTCGGGATTCGACACACACTTCTACACACACACATAGTACAGTAGAGTGTATAATCAGGTAACAAACCAGGTTAGCAAGCGGTTGCCAGAGACTCCTGGACTGGCCAAAAAGGGATTCGAGGCGCAATCAATGTGGCGGCGGTTTTCCACCCAAAAGCTGCTGACAGCAAACGCCAGAACAAAAATTCTAGAGAAAAAAGCGAAACAAAACCCCGACTAAACCGAAACCGAAGTTAAATGCTCTGGGTTTCCCTGGCACTGCATGGCTATCTCTTCTCGACCAAACTTCTGTGGCTACTGCCAGTGGTACAGCGGATGCTGTGTTGACCATATTATTAGACACCCACATATGCAGGATGGTGGGTGGGCTTTTTGGGGTGGATACCCCAGATCCAAAACCAAATCCTTCTGCCATCTCCCTGTGTCAGCTTTAATTCACTTCTGGACATAGAGAGGGTGAACCAAGGCAAATATCCTTTTGCCTCCCTCATTTTTTATCCC